AGTTTTCAGTGTAATAATGTAGAATATTCTATTAATTTTCAGCCATTTCTTTTATACGAAATGAATGAAATAAATTTTCCATTAAATATAGGATCAAAAAAAAGTAATAAAAGAAAGTCTTAAGTAAAATGTTTTTTTTTGTCATTCGTTTCCATCGCATAAAGATAAACTATAAATTATTATACTAGTATAGTTTAAATAGAGATTAATATTTTAGATTAATGTCAAAGAGAAAAGCTTGTATCATGATTTTTCTTAACTATACATATAAATAATATGAAATATAAAATTTAAGTTAGATAACAAAACAAAAACAATACTGTTGTAACGTCTCGGCCTAATTAGACACATAACGGCTTCAAGAAGGACCCTTTTCAGGATCATGGATCACTTTAATTTTCATTTACAAGCACTATATATATATATATATACACACACAAATACAGAACTCTGGATTATTATGATTTATTATTTACAAAAATGAAAATTAAAGATTTAAATTTTATTCACAAGTGCACGATTAAATCACAAGTACAAGTTCACTCCAAGATCAGAGATTTTCAGAGTTCTCGAGTCTACGTCGAATCTAATTGCCTGGTCTGCGGCAGACCTTAATTATCCCACTGCGGGATACACGAAACCACAAGGGGCTCACTTTGGAAACAGGCGGAATCTCCGACATATTCAGTCACTTCAGAGGAAAAAAAAAAAAACCACAGTTCTGGTCGACTCATCGTAGAACTATCTCTTTTTCACTAAAAACCACCCTTTAAGAAAATCCGTCAAGGGGGTTAGCATCCCTCACTTTTAATGTAAGTGGACATTTTTTTAGCTCGTAGCCTATCCCCATTCACGATGGAACAACTCATGGTGTCGTCCATATTCTATCTGTAATTATTTCGACCTGTGAAGGTCGCATAGACATTCGCTAATTTCCTGAGTCTCATGATACATGATACCGAATATCTTATCAGATTTGAGTGACAGGTTGTTCTCATTAGTACTTGTTATTATATGTTGTTGTTTCTTATCCCACTTGGCTGGCCAAGCCCACGAGCCCATACGTACTTATGATTGAAGGGGAAGTAAGCAGCTTCTGTTGTGATGGAGCACCTGTAGGTAGAAAACTGACTTTGGCTCCGTGACGCTCTTACAGTCATAGGAGACCGGGACCTACGGCTTAAAGTGGATTCCGAACCACTACAAACATCTATGGCACCACCGGGACTCGAACTCGAAACCTGTGGCACCGAGCGCCAGAGCGCTAGACACTCGGCCATTCAGGTCCCAAATTTGTGAATGCCAACGGCACGCTGTGTTCCCAGGTGGTCATGCCACCGCCGGGACTCGAACCCGAAACCTGTGTCACCGAGCGCCAGAGCGAAGCACTGACCGCGCCCAATGATGCTTGACTTCGGTGATCTAACGAGAACCGGTATATTCAGCATGGTATGGCCGTTGGCATAAATTATATACTTGTCAAATAAATTCTTTTCTCCTGGGAATGAAATCCCAAAACTCTTCCCGTCAGAAAAAAATGTAAGCATGGAAATAAGATTTTTATAGTTTATATGTAAAATTTACAAATGTTGTCAATGTATTTCTATCAACGCTTGATCCTATAGTGACTTCTAACAATATCATATCAATCCAATTTAGTAACCCTTAAACTAATCTTCTGAAAAATTAGACATTGCAACTTTGACCTACAGAAATAATATTGCATTTCATAAGAGTAAAAGGCAACAAAAAAACTTTTAGAAGCAACTAACAATTTTTGAAATCAATAATTCCATTTTTATTTTTGTTTTCTCGCATTAGCGAAAAATATTACCAGTAAAACTTGAATGTAAAATTTTCACATTTAAGAGGATCGAAATTGCGTATTGTATTAAAAAAAATTTCTGGAAAAATATAACAGTGTAATTCGATATTAACTTATACTAAAATTTAATGCTAATTGTCATTTAAAGTATTTGGTTTCTTAAAGCTTTAAATTAGCATGGAACTAGCTGAAATAGATCTTTAAATCAAATTTCTTGTTAGCTCAAGATTTTGTGTATCCCTTTATAGAACTTTAGAGACTTATCAAATTAAATTTTGAACTGGAAATCTTTAGAGTTGAACTAAATTTTTTCTGAAGAAGATTGATTTTATTTTATTTCAGATAAAATTCCTTTACAAAGAAATTAATTCATTTATCAATAATATGTTATAGGGGAATGTTAGTACAATACCGATAATCACAATTGTAATTTAATATCAATGTGACGCTATTAAATAATTTATTTTGTTTGCCTTATATAATACATGAACATTATTTAATTTATATGTATAAACACAATTTTATTTAAGCAATAAAACTTTTGTACTCTATATGCAGGATGTTCGAGTTATTCCACACATTACAGTATTGTGCAAAAAAAAAAAAGACAGAAAGGGAAGATCTTTACTAATTTGTAATACAAATTCAAAATTTCATAATACTGTTGATGCCATTTTTTTGTTATCAAATACATTAATTTGTAGGATATGCACCAGCTTCTATTTACCCTACACATACCAACTAAATTTACCCTAGCGAGAATCAAACTTTCTACCGTTCTGGTACTCGGTGCCACAAGTTTCGGGTCCGAGTCCTGGAAGTTCCATAGATGTTTGTAGTGAGAGGTATCCGTCTAATATGATTGTTGGGAGTAGGGCTGATAATCCTACCCTGTAAAAAGAAACCATCTCCTGTACCGAAATCTGTCAGTAAGCATACGGCCTTGACCCACCATGGGCTGTAGTGCCAGGAAGTTAGGAGTTAGTTAAAACCAAACTTTAAACAAACGAAAGAAAATTTCAAAATTTGATGCTAGAAAATTTTGTTAAAACATGTATTAAATGCACTAGTTTGCAGGTTATAAATAACTCTAAGCACGTAAGATGTTTACCAATATCTATAGTGTGAAAACAAGTAACACAAATTCAAAATTTCATAAATATTGATGCGATTTTTTTCTATCAAATACCATTAATTTTCAGGATTTGTACCAGCGTCAATTTACCCTATACACACCAACTAAATTTACCCTAGCGAGCAGGTTTCGGGTCCGAGTCCCGGAAATGTCATGGATGTTTGTAGTGGTTGGAAATCCACTTTAAACCGCAGGTCTCCGTTTAATATGATTGTTGGCCGTAGGGCTGACAATCCTGACCTGTAAAAAGAAACCATCTCCTGTCTCGAAATCTTCCAGTAGGCATATGTCCTTGACCCACCATGGGCTGTAGTGCCAGGGAGTTAAGAGTTAGTTAAAACCAAACTTTAAACAAACGAGAGAAATTTTCAAATTTTGATTCATGAAACTTTTGCTTGCTCGCATTAAATGCGTCTGATTTTCAGATTTTGAAGCAACTTCAAGTTACTCTAAACACATACCAATATATGTACATAGTGTGAAAACAAGTACTGCTTGGACCTACTGGGAACAATCGATTATCGCATTGATGTTCATTTGCTTTTGTAAAACAATTTTTTGTTTTTTTTTCCATAATTTATCAATGTATTTGAAATTCTTCGATGTTCATATTTCTGGTTTCTAGTTTAATCAAAGTATCCTAAATATGCATGTTCGCAACATTTCATAAAAACGCGTGGTTCAGATGTTAAATATCTGAAGATGAAAATATATTTGAAAATTCTTGTTGGAAAAGTAACTAAATACATTTGTGAAATTCCGCTTAAAATACGAGAAGTTACATAAATATTCATGTATAATTGAACCTATGTAAACAGTTCTTCATCAAAAATGTGGGTTACTTTTACTTAAGTAAGGAAAAGATTCTGTACTAATTCTAAAATTTTTCCTTTTCTTAAAGAAGCTTTTTGTTTCTGTATAACTTTCTGTTTCTTTCTATATAACTATTTTACAAAATGATATAAATAATTTTACTTACCAAGTTACGTCAAGTTTTAAAAAGATTCCTTTTTAAAATATTTTATAGTAAAAATTGTCATTCGCTGTCAGAGTTCGTTACAAATACTTGATGTTTCGATTGTAAGTTTCAATATTTTTTTCGCTTTCCATATTACGGTTACGACTCTCAAAGATTTGATAGTTCATTTTGAGTTTAGAAATTTATTTTGAACTCTATCAACTAAATCTAACTCTCAAAGGATATATCAATATTGATTGATATATCCTTTGAGTTAAGAAATTTTGATGGTTATTGTTTGAGCTATTCACTTTTTTTCAATTTGTGTGCCAATCTCAAGTAACCAACAGTTTTTCAATTAACATTTTGTTTTTGCTACCTAAAGGTGGTTGAGTTGCCCACTCATCATAAAGATTATAATAAGCGTGTTGCTTGTAAATCATTCCCTTAAGCTTGAATCTCCATTTTGTATTAATTATCTGTTAGTTATAATGGAACCAAAGAGAGTGAATAGTTTATATGGTTTCCAATGTTGTTGTGACTAATCCTCAAAGTCCTGCAGTGCGGGACGGACAACCCATAAGTGATCTACTCATGGATGGAGGGAAAGAGGGCAGCTTCTGTTGTGATGGAGCACCCGTAGGTAGAAGTCTAACTTTTGCTCCGTGACGCTTTTACAGTCAAATGAGACCGGGACCTACGGCTTAAAGTGGATTCCGAACCACTACAAACCTCCACGGCACCACCGGGACTCGAACCCGAAACCTGTGATACCGAGTGCTAGCCACTCAACCATTCAGGCCCGATTTCCAAAGTGATAGTGTTCAGTTTGAAACCTGGTAGTAACGCCGTCTTTGTTGGTATACGTTTGAAATTGCGGTGACAAATTGTAGATGAAGCTTTATTATCATATTCTTTATTTTTGTTCAACGTGATTTTAAAAAATCTTCTAAATATTGGTTATCATATTCTTTTCTTTCAAACGAGATTCTAATGAATTTTCTAAATATTTGTTTTCATATTCTTTTTTTGTTCAATGTGATTCTAACGAATTTTCTAAATATTTTTTTTATCATATTCTTGTTTGTTCAACGTGATTTTAAAGAATTTTCTAAATATTAGTAATCATATTCTTTTTTTTTTTTGTTCAATGTGGTTCTGAAGAATTTTCTAAATATTTGTTACCATATTCTTTTTTTTGTTCAATGTGGTTCTGAAGAATTTTCTAAATATTTGTTACCATATTCTTTTTTGTTCAATGTGGTTCTGAAGAATTTTCTAAATATTTGTTACCATATTCTTTTTTTTTTTTTTGTTCAATGTGGTTCTGAAGAATTTTCTAAATATTTGTTACCATATTCTTTTTTGTTCAATGTGGTTCTGAAGAATTTTCTAAATATTTGTTACCATATTCTTTTTTGTTCAATGTGGTTCTGAAGAATTTTCTAAATATTTGCTACTATATTCTTTTTTTTTGTTCAATGTGGTTCTGAAGAATTTTCTAAATATTTGTTACCATATTCTTTTTTGTTCAATGTGATTCTAACGAATTTTCTAAATATTTGTTATCATATTCTTTTGGTTCAACGTGATTTTAAAGACTTTTCTAAATATTGATTTTCAAATTCTTTTTGTTCGATGTGATTCTAATAAATTTTCTAAATATTTGTTGCATTATTTTTGTTCAATGTGATTTTAAAGAATTCTCTAAATATTTTTTATCATATTCTTTCGTTCAACTTGATTATAAGGGATTTGTTAAATATCAACCTTTTCAGTCGAGAATAATTTTTAGATGGGAGTACACGGAATTAGAAAATGTCAACATCTTACTGAAATCTGTCAACTGACATTTGTTATACAAGGATTAGAAAGGCGTGGTGGGTAAGAGATTATGTTTTCGAACTAGGAGAGTTTGGGTTTCAACCCCAAAAAGCGGAGCCATATGGAAAGGAAATTTTGAAAGAAAGCTTGTTGCACCCTGTTGCGATTTCTAGAGCCTCTTAGAGTTCAAGGTCCGGGAGTTGCTTAGGAATATTGTAAATAATTAATTTGGGTGATCTTCGATGGGGCTTATGATGCCTAATCTTTTCTTTGAGTAATTTTGAGTTACCTATTGAATTCAAAAGTTTTTCTACGACTTTTTCCTCTGCGCAATTCACGGCGAGGCCATTGTTACGTAAATTTCTGATTGAATTAATTTTAATTTTTTTCTTTCGAAGGATTAAAAGATTTTTTCAGCATTTCTCGCAGTGATGTTTCGTTTTCAGTGCAGAATGAATCTGCAGTAGACTGAGAAAGGTACAGGAGTATTGTACGCGAAATCTTGGGTGAACTTTTTAAAGTTTCTACATACGTGAAGAACGAATTTGTTTCAAGAGGAGAATTATCTAGGCAGCAGGTGTATTTGTCGGAAGTTTTTAACGTAAAGTTCAAGTCTTCTCAATAGTTTATTACCATACGATCTAAGGCCAGAATTTAAAATGAAGCGAGAGCCTGTTTTCTCATTCAGCAGATTTCTAATTTCAGTGATAATTTCTGA